TTTAGCTGCTGTTCAGCAAGTCACCTGCTCGCTAAGGCTCAGATTGCAGTGTTCCCCAGTCACAAAACATGAACCAGTCCCGATGGATTGAATGGAGGACTCTGAATATGAGCAGTAGTGTTGTGAACATATCCGAGCATCTCTCCTGCCCTCTTGGATTTGGTCACTACAATGCAGTTGACATCTGTATCCTTGAGACAGTTGTTATTGTCTTGCTAACATTTTTAATTATTGCGGGTAACCTAACTGTGATATTTGTATTCCACTGTGCTCCACTTCTGCATCATTATACCACCAGCTATTTTATTCAGACCATGGCCTATGCCGATCTCTTTGTTGGAGTTAGCTGCTTGGTTCCTACTTTGTCACTGCTCCACTACTCGACAGGTGTCCACGAGTCCTTGACTTGCCAAGTTTTCGGATATATCATCTCTGTGCTCAAAAGCGTATCTATGGCATGCCTTGCTTGCATCAGTGTGGATCGCTATCTCGCTATAACAAAGCCTCTCTCCTATAATCAGCTGGTCACACCTTGTCGCTTGAGAATCTGCATCACTTTGATCTGGATATACTCTTGTCTGATCTTCTTGCCTTCCTTTTTTGGTTGGGGAAAACCTGGTTACCATGGAGATATTTTTGAATGGTGTGCTACCTCCTGGCTAACTAATGCCTATTTTACTGGCTTTATCGTGTGCTTACTGTACGCTCCTGCTGCCTTTGTCATATGCTTCACGTATTTCCACATCTTTAAAATTTGCCGGCAGCACACCAAAGAGATCAATGATCGGAGAGCTCGATTTCCTAGCCACGAAGTGGATGCTGCTGGGGAGACTGGGCACAGCCCCGATCGCCGCTATGCCATGGTTTTGTTTCGGATAACCAGCGTGTTCTACATGCTGTGGCTCCCCTATATCATATACTTTCTGCTGGAGAGCTCTAGGGTGTTGGAAAACCCAGCACTTTCCTTCTTAACGACGTGGCTTGCTATAAGCAATAGTTTCTGCAACTGTGTGATCTATAGCCTCTCCAACAGCGTTTTCAGGCTGGGACTGCGGAGACTGTCAGAGACAATATGTTCATCTTGTATGTGTTTAAAAGACAGGGATGTACGGGAGCCTAAACCAAGAAAACGGGCTAATTCCTGCTCCATTTAAAGAAAACCGGCACATGTAATTGAACGCGGAGTTTTGATAGTGTTTGCTGTATCGGGAGACTTGCCAGAAGAGAAATGTTTACTGGAATAGTTTGCTGGTTAGAGTGCGTGTAAAAGGGGTTGCGGAAAAGGAAAAGGCTGCTGTGAGAGGGGTCGCTGAACTGGAATGTAGCTCTTGCGAAACTGTGAGGAGAGCAATTTGACGGAGACGATGAAGAAAGTCAGAACTAAAAATCTTCCAAAGGGCATGAAATAACTAACACATCAGAGGAGGTTCCTCATAAAATAAGTTAGTTGCCTCCATATACTTCCCCCGTGTAGAAAAGTTGTCTTACTAACTTTGTGTCAGAATATACTGTAGCCTTCTGAATTTAAATATATTTAAGAGGAAACAGTGAACAACACAGTAAGTGGCTATCCGTAAATTATATACCTGAGGACTATAGTAGATATTGCAGATTAATAATCAGCTCTGTCTCTGCTCACATCCTGTACAATTTTCAGTTGTACGAACAATCCGCGATGCATACAGCCTACACTGGGCATGTGACGCTTTTGGAATAAAATGGCACATTTTGGTAGAACTGCCACAGAAGCTCTCCCTCTCGTTTCCCCCGTTTTTCCGTACTGTGCATCCCTAGATTCCATCATGTCCAAGTGGTTTGGTTTGAGGTCACCTACGAGGTAAACGGAGTTTCAAACTATTCTTCTGGCGGAAAGCAATAGCCCTTACTGGCTGGCTGAGTAACCGCAGCTGCCCGGGTACGATGACTTCTTCAGTCTTTCGTTCCCTTGATCCCGTTAACCTCGCACACGGTGTTGATGTAGTGTCCTTTAGGGTCTACTAAAGCTTTGCCTTTATTGGCTACCCAGGCAGTCCTAGTGCAGGGACGATAACCGCACACGGCGGTGTGCATCACTGCTTAGAGAATGAAAACTAACTAGCCCTTTTCTTTGGGAAGGCTAAATAGCTTACTGTTGCAGCTGTCGATCCGTTGTGTGAACCTAGCTTGCACACGCTGTATTTTTTTTAGAGAAAAAGTAAATTGTGGTCTGTGCCTAGTGTTTTCATAGCACATGGAATAGGTCAATGCTACAGGATTAAAAAATTACACTTGCTTTAAGAGAAATACTTCTGTGCAGTTGTTGAATAGCTGTTTGTTAGACAAGTGTTCTTAGAGGAGGTGAGCAAGACAGTTTAGTATTAAATACGGGCAAAGAGCTTCAGTATTTCCTTTTGTACCGAACTGATTTTCAGGTCCACTGATGAAATCTTTTTGATTTTGCAAGGGCGCACATTAGGTTTGTGTAATAAATTGCCAGGGGTTCAGATGCATGCCGATCAATAACATATTTACATTATTATTTTGAACCAAATGTAATTTTCTTAGATGGTTATTGGCTTTTAAAAAAGGCTCAATTATTGATTATTGGTGCCTTTTAACACTGCACTTTTATTCATTCTTTCACCAAAATGCATATGTAAAGATTGTGCCTATTACTTTTTGTAATGGAAGCTAACCACGCTTGCACACTTGTGGTTTGACTCTAGATCTCCCGTAATTATGTATTCTTTGTTCTCTTGAGGTGGTTCTGAACCCCTGTACGTTTTTTAAACCTGTAAGAAAGTTGAAACAATGGAATAAAGTAGTATTATGTATATCAAAACCAGCCTCGGTGTTAGTTCCCTGATGTTACGCTCTGTTCTCTGTGAAAGTTCTGTTGGGTCAGGACTCAAGTGTGAACGATTTAAAATCCAAACCTCAAAGCTGCTTACTTGCTGTCTTAAACATTTCTATACTGGTTTCTAGCGTTGCATGATCCTTAAAGCAGATTGAAATGTTACTTGAAACATTCCCCTAGCTAAGCTGAGCTGTTGCTGACAATTAGCCCTGACAGATACTATGGCAAAATGAGCAGTATTCTTTGCACATCTCTCGTAGTGCTCCGTGTCTACAGGGATGTGTCTGCTGCCTTCTCTTAAAAAGTCACTGTTTATTTTGGAAGGCTCTTTTTGGCTGACTGCTGCTCGATGAGGTTGTGTAACCCCATCTCTTATTACAAACGCAACTTGGATTAATTTCATTTTGTTGATATTTTGTCATTGTTTCCCGCTTAGTATGTCCTCAGCGTGCAAGACTTAGACAAGGCACAACAAAATGTCTCATTTCTCACAACTCTCGGGGCTGTTTTCATACCAGTGAAATAGTTTTGTAGCAGTGCTTCAGAGCTGGCCGCTTCCTGGTAACAAGTTTCTAGGGGACCTCCTGAAGTTCAAGAAAAGTTTTAGAAAATGCTTGAACTAACCTTGTATTGTAATTAGGCAACACAGCCTGGAGGCGACAGGCGCATCGTTAGCGTGGGACTGTGACCGAAAAGTGTAGAAATACACAGACTGAATCAGTGGTGTTGGTAGTGCCTTAGCTGAGCCCTGCTCGGGTAACCTCAGCCAACAGAGCTGATGTGCAGCAGCTCGAGGCGTTGTTGCCTGCAAACGGTAGGTCAGAAGGGAGCTTGGCCGCAGAGCCTGCGGCACAAGGCTTACTCCCCAGCCCAGCCACTCCTTGCCCGGAAGGGCAGAGTTAGCAATGCTTTCCTCTCTGCCATCGCCTTGAGCTTGCGGAGTTGCCAGGCGGGACTGAGGATGGCCTTTCTGCTCAGGCTGGAGTAGAAATCCAGTGCCCTACAAACAAAAAGTAGGTTCCAAAGTTCTTTGCCCCTTTTTGGGGGGGTGTTTCTTAAACATCGGCATAATGTTGTCGGTGCAAGAAGGCTAATTTGCTTATTTGCACCTCAGATTTCAGTTGCTGTAAAGTCACACATCAGCCTGGAATCTGTCAAATGAAACATCCTCGGCAGAGTTAAACGCGGTGTTTCTTCTTGCCGTTTCCGCGATGAAAGGATTTGACCTGCTGGTTGGTCACGGGAATTTTTAAATTGTGTGTGTGTTTCATTTTTTGAAAGTGTTTTCTAAACTCATGATTTAAAATTGTGTTTGAGGGAGGTTTGTTATTGTTTTACTAACGCTGTCGGAGGATTCCAGCTGGTGCTAAATTCTCTTCCAAAATTATAAGGCTGGACGTGTTGATGAATAGAGTCCAACAGGAATTTCAGTCACCCAGTCTGTCACTTCTGATTTTCATTCTGTCGTTATATAAAGTCTCATGTTCTTGTATGAAAATCTGATTAAAGAATGAGACTTTTAAAGCTGGCATCTGGAGTACATGCCCCACTTTCATGTGCCTGAAGATCTTTGTGATTTATGAAATACCTGGTGACCAGATGACCAGGCACTGACCAAAGAAATCGACGTGATGAAGTCATGGTCGATACATAGGTAACAATAAAGCCTCTCCATATACAGATACATTGAGGGAATTGCTAGAACTTTTGATACCTTTAAAAATAAAAGCAGTCATGAGAAAAAAACAGATGTAAAAATAAAAAGGTTAAAGTTAAGAGCTATGCCTAATGTGAAACAAAGCTCCCTGTCTCCTTTGTGCAGGCAGATTATGTTGTGCCGTTGCATTTTTCCCCAGTGCCGATGCTTGTAGCATAGCAGGGGCTATGTAAAGGTCGATTGCCTTACCATTTTTGGAACATCATGTCTTCAGCCTAAGGAAAAGTAAAAAAAAAAATAAATAAAATTGTGCAATGGCAGCAGAAGTGCTACCAGAAAAGTAATTTTTTTCTTCACCAAATTTTATGTGTTTCCTTATTTTGTGGAGTGGCTAAGTGAATTTCTCCTTAAAATACTGTGCTTTAAAGGGGAAGAAAACTGTGATAATGTAAAGCACAATGCTGTCTTTTAAAAGTTTGCGTGTTGTCTTACAGTAAGATTATTTTTTTCCTGGTTTCTGATGAAGAATCCGTTTTGTAAATGTGCTTGGCAAAGCATGAGGTATCATGCCAGGTTTATTTTCGTGCAGAATCTTTGTGCTTCTGCTGAAAAGTTTGGAGTGTTTTGTTTTATTGAGCCACCTTTTATAGATGCAGTTTATGAAGACCTTTTAAAAATAGCATTTGTATTGGTTTTATAACATTTTTAATTCATTAGTGCTTGGCAGCTGAATATCCCTAATCACACTTAATTTTTACACTCAATGAAACTAATAACATGTCCTTTTCTCGTAAAATAACTTTCCAGTCAATATTAGCTATTGGCTGTTGAGAGAAGTGTATCAATGTAATGATTAGCTCTTTCATCTTCCATATGACAAATTAAGGTTAACTATAAACGAGTCTGTTGTTGCAACAGGATATCGAGTTGATGGGCAATGCATCAGATTTAATATTACCTCACAGTTGGTTCTCAAGATGAAACTATTTTATCTTTCTTTTCTGTATTACAGTTATAGCCAAGCAAATAAATAAATAGATGATTTTTTTTTTTCCTACTTTTAATGCTGCTGTTTGAATGCTGGGGATGTGTACCTCGTAGTGGGAATATCCCTTGAGCAGATCGCAAACGGAATTGCAGCGAGCCTAGCAACGTGATGGCCCCGGAGCTGACTTTGCCAAGGAGCAGCGCCAGAGGTTGACGAGGCCAAAGCTGCTGTGGGGGAAGAATGTCAATGAAGGTGGCAGTGGCCTCCCCAGCCATCCTCCAGGATCAGCTAATTTGCAAATCTTTCAATTTTATTGTCACTGTCACCAAAAGGATAAGGTTAAGCCTTTGACCTGATCTGCCCACGTTACCTCTGTCTCTCTGTGCGCTCTTTTATGGATGGAGTGGTGCATCGTTCTACTAAAGAGCTGAATTAGGTTTATTCTGTTGGGGTTTTTTGGTTAAAATTTTGTATGTGTGCGATTTGAATGACAAAACCAAACATCAGTTTGTTAACTATATGCTGATTAATATTTAGGCTTGTCCAGAAGTGGAAGCATCACTGAGGTAGTGTTTTCCTGTCGCTTGAAGTATTGCCTGGAACATTATGCTTAAAGATAGTATTTTCCAAAGATTACATGATTTTTGCTAAACCAAATATGAAGTTCAAGTAA